CCCACCCGCGCTATCCGTATACATCGGCGGGCCACTAGTGAAGGATGATAGGTGAGGATGAATTAGATCAGTTAGCCTATCGTGACGAATTCAATAAGAATTGTTCACGATGGTTTCCAGGGAGATCCACGTGGATCGACTTAATAAGGCATATTGCTAGCAATGGAGCTGTCAAACCCCATTGCAAAGAATCCCTTTCTTGCAAGCAATCTGAAGTGGCAGTGGGCTGGTCATACAGCTCTAAGAACCGACAATCGATAGGGAAGAAAGGTAACGTATGTTGTAAGCCTGTATGGGCAATCGCAGTGTAGGACGACCACACAATGGGGGGGGGGGGGGGAGGAATTATTAGTAATGGGGAGGTCAGTCCTCATTGCTATCAATATACTGTATCAGATCGACTTTCAAGCGGTTCCCCATAGAAGCTATCGTGACTAATTTATCGTTGAATTATCTGTCTTGCTTTATTATCCTCACCCATCTCCTCTCACTGGCACCCCGCCAGTGTATACCGATAGCGCAGCCATGGTTACCATGCCAACTTCAGCCTTTAAACAAAATAAAAAAAAGTCTATGGGGAGGCCTATGTTTAGCAGTGGACACAATAATGGCCGAGATAATTATGATGATGAGGCTATACCCCATCAAGGACTAATGTTTAAAATGGCTTTAATATTTAAATCACATTTAATTTACCCGAAGATGGCAAATTTCGAAAGAGTCGTAGATGACCATTATTATTACAGCTGCCCATTGTTACTAATCTTCACACGATGACGTGTAGCAATCACTGCTTCATGTACTACTCTATGACTGCGCTCAATCAGTTGGAACCTAAGAAAAGGGATTACATAGAAGGAATGATAAATTAAAAACCATATGGTTGCTTCCGTTCTTCTTATGAAAATATAATACGTAAAAAGAGGACGAAAGATATACTACCAGTTGCTATTTTTCTCAATTCATAGGAGGATAGTGTATAGAAAATGTAATACGGCCGTATAACCCTACCAAATTCAGATACAACCTGCTTGCATACTTTCTACATAAACTGTGTCGAATATACAACCTAGTAATGTAAATAAACAAAAATTTTACATACACCTTTTCTATATACTAGCCTGCTATGAATTGTGAAAAATAGCAACTAATGATATATCTTTCGTCCTATTTTTTACTAATTATAATATAAGAAGAAAGGAGGTAACCATATGATTTAGACAATCTCTGATAATCTCTTCTCCCCCCCCCCCCAGCACATTAGACGACCTGTACGTGTGGAACTATGGCAGTGGTGGATGTACTAACCGGTTGTTTAGGCTGGAGTCTAGATGGCAGATTTTAGGGGAAGCAAATTTGAGAGCAAAAATTACAGTGTTATTGACAAAAAATTGTAATTAATATGATTGTGAGGGGGAAAAGGGATTGTTAGCAATGGAGTTTGACAGCCCCGTTGCTAGCAATATGCCTTATTAGGTCGACCTCCATGTGGTTTCCCCTGGAAACCATCGTGAACACTTCTTGTTGAATTCGTCACGATGGGCTAACTGACCTGCTTCATACTCACCTATCATCCTTCACTGGTGCCCCGCCGGTGTATACCGATAGCGCGGGTGGGGTTACCATTCCATTATCAACGATTACAAAAAAAATATTATTAACTATGGTACCGAATAATAGAGATAAGTCGGATGACAAAATTTGAATAGACTATTGGGGACAAATGTGTAAATTTACCACTGAATTTTGAAATCGTTATCTGAATTGGTACATGTTGATATTTTGTGTACCTACACAAAATTTTATTATCAAAAAAAAAAACTTATTGTATAATAAAATTTAGCAAACGATTTATATTAATACGTCGAATCATCAGATCTCGCGGCCTGTTATTACCTAGTCAAAAGTAAAAGTGTTATTTGATGGGTATTTTCGCGCCAAATTGTCTATTGTACGCCCTTCTGTACCCTCTATTCTTTTGTTTGTGATAATTTGATGTCTTACAATTGAATGTATGCTATAATGATTTTTAAGACTGCGTTTAAATTACAAATACGTAATTTCAGGGTAATTGATTATAATTAGTATTAGATATAAGATTGTATAACTGATATATGTTAATTTATTGTTAATATTTTTTCTATTTGTGGTTGTTCGTCGGTTTAAAATAGATTATATTAATTCTTTTTGCAATTAATACGGATTACATCCCTGTTGGTCCTATAACATTGTCACGAATAAAAGTAGTAACAAATTTAAGAGCACATAGCCTAAGATCTCAGTGCTGACTTCTGCAAGTACAAAACTTTTTAATGCCACATGATTTAAATGAAAGATAAGCTGAAATGTATTACAACTAGCTTTTACCCGCGATTTCGTCTGTGCGACCGGAATATAGTTATAGATCAGGATAAAAAATAGTTTATATCCTTCTCCATTACACGTACGGTACACGTGTCCCAAATTCCATAGTAATTAGTTTAGCTGTTACGATGCTATGTTATCCCATAACATACAAAAAAGCTTTCATATTTATAACATAATATTAGTAAAAATGTCCTCGGGTTGCTTGCTCTCAGTTAGCTGCATCAAAAGGGTTGCCAGGTGAAAATTGATTATATTTTTGTAATTTTGGCAAACAAGTGATGCTTTTTAATGAGATTTACACTAAATGGAAGTTTGTTATTTTCTATACGTGGTAACATATTGTTGCCTGTAAAAAAAATTCCGTAAGTAACGATTGGAGGGTGGTAAAGGCAACCCGGGGCCCGGGAGTAGCGTATCATATTTTACCTCATATTTCATTTAAAGTAAGTTTAATTAAAAATTTTTCATAGCTGCAGAAATTAGCGGCGGAATCTTAGATTAACACTTTTAGAAGTTTTTATGGCACACTAAAAATGAACTCTTCTACTGAGCAGTCACAGATAAATTTGAAATCATCAAAAACATAAATTGTAAAAAAAATGTCAAGTCTCGCAATGCAGTTCTTTTACTATAAAAAATTGTAAGATCTCTTGTCGTGACAACCCAGTCAATTATTTTAGTTAAAGTCTATGGAAGAATCTATTCAATAACTTTGTTATAAATTATCAACTAATCAATTATCTATCAACATTTATAGTGAAGTGATTCGCCGTGTGGTTTCGACATAGAATTGACTCCCCTTTCTTTCCCATGGGTGTCGTAAAAGGCGACTAAGTGAATTTAAAAGTCAAGGGACGGGCAGCAGCATCCCTCATTAAATATCACAAAAGCCTAACAGCGGTTGTCAACCTGCTTGCCAAGCGTGGCAACTTCTAGCAAAACTTCTTATAGGGAGAAGCTTATGTTCAGCAGTAGACAGTTAACGATTGATATGATTATAATATAGTGACCGTATTAATATTAGGGAGACTTTGTACAAAAGTCGTTTGCTTGGGTACCTCTGTCCCATTCGTATTTCTACCGTGAAGCAGTTGTGTTAGCATGACTGTGTTTCGGTTTGAAGGATGGGATATGGCGTGAATTTACAGGGTACAGAGGAATAACACCTGAGTCCTCAGGAATGGCAACGCATGGGGGGTATCATGGGCGAAACAGTATACTGTGTTATGTCGATGGTACTGCTCATGTCTATAGGCGACGGTTACCACTTTCCATCAGGTGGGCCGTCAGCTTGTTTGCCATTCTAAGTTGTATAAAAAAAATATAGTGACTTGGCAATTACACAGTAACATACTCCACTAATAAAATACTTTACTCTTAAGTGTTGTATTTAGTACCTAATCGAAATAGTAAATTTTGTATTACATTATAATATTAAAATTATGGTGCCGTGTAATTGCTAAGTCATACTGGCACCGATATATTTTATAACAACAGTAAAGCGATCCGGTTAAAACCGGTTTAATATTAATTTATAATTTTACACCATGTCCAGAAATTGTTCTACATTTACAGGTAATGTTAATTTTATTACAAAAAACACTAAAAGCGTGACGGCACGCATCGTTGCTTGGCTGTGCCACTGCATTGCATGTAATGTACATACCTATATACATACAAACAAATAGGAGAATTATTACCGCTATTTATGTATTAGTATGTATGGTAAGAATGTATGTTATTTTTTATTATTTTAGCCGTTAACTATCCACTGCTGAATATAAGCCTTCCCCATAAGAGGGAGCTTATTTGCCATTCTAAGTTGTATAAAAAAAAGGGGAGTTTTGCCAGTACTTGCCACGCTTGACAGGCAGGTTTGGAGCAGGGCTTTTGGAGGTGTTTTAAGAGAGATACTGCTGCTCATCCTTCGCCCTCCCTTAGTCGTCTCTTACGACACCCACGGGAAAGGAAGGGGTGGCCTATTCTATGCCGGGACCACACGGCGAATGTATATATGTATGTTATACTATATTTTTTTCAAATTAAAATTTAAATAATTTATTGCACGAATAAGGCAAATGGCAAATATTTTTTATAAGTCAACTATTTCACATTCGACCATATCGGCATGTGTAATATAAAATTAATGTCAAATTATTGTTTAATAATAACCTATAATAATAAAAAATAAACCAATTGATAAATGATTCAGAATGTCTAATATTTGTCATGTAACGTATAGTAACATTTGACTGTCAAATATTCTTTTGCTTTTTTCTTAAATACATTTAATTTCTCTATTAAAGGCTTTAGGGATTACTACGGTTTCATTCGTGCGAGGCTTATCTGCCGTTCCCATGGCGATATTTGGAAAATCCTTTCTAGGAGATTAGGAGATGCCTACCTTAAAAAAGGAACATTCTTAGGGTTTTTATACTTTGTTATTTCACGGTGCATTTACAAGTTTAGCATTTTGTCATGGCGCTCAAGTTAAATATAATTATAAATGAAATGGTAAAAGAAAAAAAAAAACGAATCGATTTCTGGAGTAGAGAAAACGAGAGCGACATTCTTCACGGCGCATTTGTTTATTATAAATTGATGTAAAAAAAGAAAATAACTTTAACACTTACTCTGGACTCTGTCTGAAGTGATCTACAGCAAATTGTAATAGTGGATGCCTTCCGTCGTGCTGTGGCGTTGACTGGTCTCTTCTATCGTCCCGTATCTCTCTATCTCTGTCTCGCTCCCTCTCCCTCTCGCGAGGTATAGGCGATGAAGTCTGTGCTCTTCTCTCCACGTGCTCTGTCTCTTCTCTTGACTCCCTAGACTCCCTGGACTCACGACTATCGCGAATGTCCCGTGAATCTCTGGAGTCTCTCGATTCTCTAGCCTCTCTGCTGTTCTCCCGTTCAGTTATACGTTCCTTTAGCACTCCATTTGTCGTTGGTTTTGGTTGAATCTGTAACAAGAATTTTTTATTTATTAGAATATAACAAATTCATAACATTCATGTATATTCTTTATTGCACTTTAATAAAAGATACAGCAATTAGTTTAACAATTTGTTAGCAAGGGTGTAACATTCTTGTATTTTAATAAAAATATAGTAGTAAACAGAGAAAAATAAAAAATCTCCAGAGTAGGTACTAATTAATACAGAATATATTTTATCTTCCGTAGATTTATACAGATCCTTAGTGGTTATCTAATTTCTTTAATAAAATTTAACTTAACTTTTATTTTAAAGTTAAGTTAAAAAGGAAACGAAAAATACGACATTAAAAAGTAGTGTTAAATTTTTTATAATTAAATTTGCACAAAATAAAAAAAATCTATACAAAGTGCTACGCTGGCAATATTCAGAAATAGTACAACTGTATCGGAGATCACCACTATTTCATTTAACAATTAACACGGCATCTGCAGCAAAAAGAGACAGCGAGCTTGGTCAGGAAAGCGTGAACGTCCGGCCAGAGACGAGGTATTTTGCGACGTGTATTGTGCAGCGTCACGGTTGTACACTGGACAATGTATTTATTTACCTAATGGCGCAGCTGTGACCATATTGATTACATATTTTAATACACGGTAACATGGGCCATGCTTTTTTATGCATCGAGTGGTAATTTCACTGGTTTTTACAGTTTATTGGTTGGTTTATTTTAGCAGGGTACCAGCGAGGGATGCAGGGTGAGGATGCATTTAAGTAAATTTACTTATTTTGCAATTGCCCTATTGTACCAAATTCTTTAGGAATTAACCATCATGGTTTACAAAGAGATTGAGTTAGGTTGAGCAAACTTGAATGTATTTTATAGTAGAATAGTAAAAACATGACTATTCAATGTTTATAATTAAGTTTCTTTAAATAAATATTTGAGATTTTTTTTTTTAGTGTTATTATCAAGGTCTTTTCTGTGGCACAAAATGGACCTCTAACCTAACTGTATAATTTAAATTTCAGTTTGATATCACAGCGAAATCTTTATTCGAAAGACCAATATGAATTAAATTTCTAATATATTTAAGTCAAATTATAAATTTACTTTATAGTACTCCATAAAATTGTAATTTTCAACGGATTTTAAAAAGAAGGCGATTTTTAAAACAGTTGTATTTTTTTTTGTTACCTTATAACTTCGTCAATTCATAATCGTTTAGAAAATTCTTTTTTATCTGAAAGGATATAATTACAGATAAAAAAAAAATTGTCACAAATGAAGTCGGCTTTTTTGTGGAACACAAGCTTTAAATATTTTTAGAAACTATCAAATTAAAATAGTACGTTAAGAGATTGGTTTAGAGCAGCCTTTCTCAAAGTGGGCGATAACGACCCCTTGTGGGCACTGCAGGCCTAAAGGGGGACGGTAAAAGACCAAGAAAAAAATGGTGGCGTTGTATAGAGGCTTGGGGGGTGATTTGTAATTTGAAGTAATAGTGGTTTCTAAGTAGGTGAAAAAACGGGGGCGCTAAAAAGTAATTTATTCTCAAAGTAAAGAAAATATGTTTGGGAACCCTGGTTTAGAGAAATGACATCACTGAATCGACTTAGTTTTTAGCAATTGGACCGCTTGTCTCTGCTACAATATAATCCTTCCTCCCATTCATGGGCCATTTTAGATTCTAGAACGTCATCGACAACATAAAAAAAATTACTAAACTAATTAAGCTATTATTATCATTGAGAGCCGGGCTTTTTAGACAGAATAACCTGTGACACTGCGACCTTACTACGATCTTTTGTACTCGCCCTTTTTCAAAGTTCGCTACTAATTCCTATCAGTGATAGGAATTTTAAAATGTTCTTTGTAGCGATGTTTTCTATCTCCTTAGGATAAATAGTGTATTTATTAAAGGAGATATATCGTTCTTGTTATGAGTGGGCTACAGCAATAAATTACTGCGATTACGAATGCCTGAAACAATCAAGAGTCTCATGTGTAATGCGCACATACCCTAAAGATTTAATCTCATTAATTTTTCTCTCATTTTACGATCTAAACCACGAAAGTATCATCCAATGATACTTTCAGTACTATACTGTACAGATTACATAATTCTTGTTGTTTTTCCATAAGCAAATTTTGGTAGATTATCGAGCTTACAATCTTATTAATATAATAAATGTGAAAGTTTGTAACGATAGATGGATAAAATGATGTTAGTTACTCTTTTACGTAAAACCTATTGAACGGATTTGAATGAAACATCTAATATATAAAATTCTCGTGTCGCGGTGTTTGTTACCAAACTCCTCCGAAACGGCTTTACCGATTTTTATGAAATTTTGTGTGCATATCGAGTAAGTCTGAAAATCGGCCAACATCTATTTTTCGTAACCCTCAATGACCCACCCCTAATTTATTTTTTATTTCTTTGTAATTTTTTTTTATTTTTATTTTACGGAATTTTTCAGCTAGTAGCACATAGGATACTTTCCGTAAGGATTCACGCGGGATACAACTAGTAGATATTCTAATAATATAACGTATTCTAAAAATGTAATGAGGTCCGTTAGGCTGGTAAGACAGGCGATTGGCAACAAAACCTTCTTTGACATTCTTTCTTTCCAGTTTTATTTAGATTCTATTGTTGTTTTGTTATATAATTCATTGAAATAACTACCAGTCAAGCGTGCGAATTTAGGTAAACCTGACAATAATTTTTCGTCATACTAAGCTCTTTTTATTGAAAGTTCATAATATATTGTACTCATTATGATAACAACATTAGATTATGCAATAAACTACGGGTATTTTTCATAAATGGGTGTGAATAAATGATCCCAATAAATATAAATACGTAATTTAATGAGTTAATGCTCTTTATAAATAAGTATAAATGAAATCTGTGAGAAAAATATTAAAATGTTAGACAATAAAATTCCATTTTACAAAATATCGAAAACTATTTTTTAAATTTATTCATCAAAAGATAACTTGATAATTTTGTTCTCTCTACTTCGTATGCGTTGATTTCAAATGTAAGAAAACTAATGAAAAGAACTAATTCTAGATAGCACATCAAGATAAAACATACACCACTTGTTAAGTTAGATCTTTAGGAATATATGTATGAAAATTCCATTCAATTTAACGTTTTTGTGTGATGCCGGAACAAACATCAGACATACAGACAAATAAAATTTCTTAAGAATATTGTTTTGGCATCAATTGTTCTTATTAAGACCCTAAATATTAAGTTTGAAATATTTTCCATGTACAGACATTGTTTAGTTACAATTTTATTTTATTAGTAAATTATTAATAAACAATTAATAATATAGTGGAAAGTAATGTGATGGCTCTCTCTGGAAAATGATATGTTACAAAGAGGAATAACATCATGGATATTCATATTATTAGTGACACCCGTGGTATCTCTTCCATGTTCCATATAGGTATGTTTCTTTTTGACTCCGTGATTGCTAAAGTCTTTAAATATTATGTTCTTTTTCTCACCCTAAACTACTTTTCATGATAAAGTCGGAACAATTGTTGGAAACGACAATTATATTATTCGTTAATTAATTTCTCGTTATCCAGTTATATGAAATCTATATAATTAATTAATAATTAGATTTGTATTAATAATATAACATGTATACCTTTTGCTTTCGTTTCAAAGTTTTTCTGCCCAATGTCCTGATCACACCATAAATATTTTCCATGACTAGTATTCACAAACACAATTCTTAAATATTATTTATGAATAGTATTGATAAATTTAACAATTCCAACACCGCATTTCCACAAGAAGCACTATAAATTTAATTGCAACAATTTTCAATTTTCGCGCTGCGTTCGCGAAGTGCAACGGCGTTATGCGCGCGCGCCGGCCGCATATCGGCAGCCATCTTTATAAATATTGATGCAATCTCTACGTATTCGCTCCGATTAATAGCCAATTTTCTTTCGTAACTGGAATTCCTTATGTTTATACGGTTATGTGGCGTGTTCTAGAGATGGTTAGCTTTTATTGTAAATGATTTTAATGAAAACAATAGCTATGATCGTATCCATAATTGATTAATATTTTTAAGCGACTTCTGAAAGAATTATTTTTATAGTTTGATTGTTTTTAAATATAGATATGTCATATTATTTTGGCAATTGTTAGAGTTTCTTTTTTATCCTATATTTATTTTGTCATGACTGAAGTCGCTGTCTATCTGCGAATAAAAATCTTAATTTTACGATATAGATAGCAGATATCAGCCATATTGTATATAGTAATACTATCCCGTGACTTTGCTCATGTGGCTCGCGTGAATTAGTATATAATCTATATGTTAGGTTAGGATATAATCTACCCGTGTAATTTCATAAAAATCCGTTGAGTATTTTTTAGAGAAAGAGTAATAAACATTCATACACACATTTTTGCAAATTTTCGCGTTTACAATAATAGTAAGATTGTATGTCATGCCTGAACCTCATGAAATAATGGAAGCCATTCATAAATCTTAGTAACGGACCAATTTATATGGGTTAGCGAAGTCAATATGAGACTAGCATGTAAGTAAACCCTATTAATTTTAAAAACAATCATGAAAATTTATTCAGAATTGACAAAATTATAGTTTGTGTACGTTACACACAATATTACGGTCGAATTGAGAACATGATCCTTTTCTTGAGGGCGTCAAGACCAGATGAAACCTAAGTTGCACTTAGCAGCACGAGATATTGTCTAGGAATCCTTTATAAACATGAGGTATTTACAGGGTACAGAGGAATAACACCTGAGTCCTCAGGAATGGCAACGCATGGGGGGTATCATGGGCGATACAGTATACTCTGTTATGTCCATGGTACTGCTCGTGTCTATAGGCGATGGTTACCACTTTCCATCAGATGGGCCGTGGGCTTGTTTGCCATTCTAAGTCATATAAAAAAATAAAATAAAAAAAAAGGCCTATGAAGAAATCTTCCAAAATTCCCAATGAAACTAAGGAAG